ACCCAGATAACATTTCTGGGGACCCGGGTTCGAATCCTGCCACGGCAGATGGTGGAATTTACATTCAATAAAATATCTGGAATTAAGAATCTAATTATGACAATGAATTCCATTGTCAATTGTCGGAAAAACACATCTGGTTCACTGATGTCCTTTAGGGAAGGAAACTGCCATCCTTACCTGGTCTGGCCTACATGTGACACCAGATCCACAGCAATGTGGTTGACTCTGAACTATCCTCTAGGCAATTAGGGATGAGCAATAAATGCTGCCTAGTCAGCGACGCCCTCATCCTGTTAATGAATAAAAAAGACACACATGCACATGCACACGTGTGAGCATACGCGTGCACACAGAGACAGACAAGACACAGTTTCAAGATCTCTCCACAGCCCTAGTCAAGCATGTTGCTGTGGGTCTGGAGTCGCCTGTAAGGCAGATTTCATTCCCTCATGGATATTTGTGAACCAGATGGGTTTTTTCTACAACTGTTGATGGTTATTTGGGCACAACATTGTGGGCCGAAGGGCCTGTACTGTGCTGTACTGTTCTATGTTATATCCTTGTGTCCTATCCAATATCTATTCCTCAATCAGTATTTCAAAAACATGACCATCTAGACATTATCACCTATGATTTTTGGGTGATTGTTGTCTGTAGGTTGACTGCATTTGTTATACTGAGGCAGTGACTACTCTCTTCAAAAGTACTTCATTGTAAACTGTGTTGAGGCAACAGGCCGTCATGGGAACTGGTATATAAATGAGATTTTCTTTTAAATAGAATTGTGTTTGCTGATTCTTTGAAAGGCGTGGCTTTTTGTCAAGTTCTGTTCAACTTTTTGTTTAGGTAACTGGACGCTGATTAAATATTTCAGTTCCTGGAAGAGGAAATGTCATCCATCTATGCCTGTCATTGAACCTTCAAACACGTATAGCTCAATGAAGACTGGATTTTACACCTCCACACCTGAGCGGTATGGGTTGTCCTTTGTGCTTCTTGACATCAGTTCCCTCTTGTATCACTGACTTGCAAGGATAAGAAACTCCCCTTGATGACCATCAGCTGACGAACCATTCAGATTCGAGCAATCTTTAGTTTAAATTAATATCTGTCAATTGACCTGACTTGGACAATGACAGAAATGCTTAAAATTTTCCTTTTTTTGGGGTAGGGGGGCAAAAGAGCCAAGACTCATGTTTTTGATTGTTATCTAGTGATTAGCCCAGTTGGGACATGGTTTATATTTTCTTTATTTCATTTAACTGAACTTGCGTGTGCATGCATTTTATTTAACTGAACTTGAACATGCAAGTGCACGCAATAAAAACGTGAAAAATAAATCTGTTTACTTTGGTTTCCAGGAAGTATGACATTCTCAGCTTAGAGGAAGAACTTGAGAAACTGGAATGTGATGGCCTGCAAGGTAAAAAATTGTCACAAATGGCATAGGGTTTTGGAAGTGTCATTTGAAAATGTAATTGTCACTTCAATTTATCATGGGGTAGGAATATGACAGGAGTAGATTCGAATAAAAATTTTTGAGCTCAGAATTAACGACATAAGTATGGAAACCAACCTCCAGGACTGCAAATGCTGCTGGAGGTCTTCTATTCAGAGAGAGGCTTGAAGTTGGTAGATCCCTGGGGAAATGTGAATGGAGAAGCCATAGCATAAAATGTGCAGTCCCTGATGGCATTATATGAATAAAATCAAATAAGATCAGTAACAAGTAGACTGTTGCAAATGGAAGCATAGGCTGTTTAGTCGTGGAGGATGTCACAAGACTATAAGGTATAGGAGCAGAATTAGGATATTTGGCCCATCAAGTCTACTCTGCCATTCAATCATGACTG